GTAACCTATATCACCATCCACCACTTCGAATAGAGTAGTCTTTGTTACTCCTTTGGCATGTGTGGGCAGCAAAATCTCTCCTCGAGTTGTCACGCTTGTCAAGTTGAAGTCAGCTAAGAGTTATGTCACCGGAACGATGCCCCTGGTTAACTTTGCTTGCTCTCCATTATATTATGTTGGCTGAACTTCATGGGTCAACCAAAACAAGTTTAATTTTGAAATCTAAACATTGAGAGAGATTACCAAAGCATCATTGTATGGCAAAAATAGTCCGTCAGTGTCCTCCTCCATGAAGGTGATATCATCTTCTGCGACTTCCCGGTGTCTCTTGTTGCGAGTCACCAATATCTTCGTTTTCTTCGCTGCTGAAAAGGTTACACTATTGACTTTGTGTTCTTTGAAGATCATGTTGATAGTCATCCGAGGTGACCCTTCTGCTACTTTCGAAGGCTCTGCATTGTCCCCGCTTCGATCGTAGTTAATCTTGGCTCGGTCTTGAGATGGACATTTTTCAACAATGTCGCCACCTCTTCGCGAAGATGTCAGCAGTCCCTAGTTCTGTGGCCATGAGTTCCATAGTAGTCACACTATAAACTGGGATCCCTCTAGCTAGGACCTGAGCGGTTTGGCTTCGGGAACCGTGCTTCTTTGATATTTCTCATTGCCTGATACTAACTCTACTAGGCTGATATTGAAGTTGTAATCCGATAACCTGGGATATGCGGAGTCTCGGGCCCGTGACACCAATTTCTCTCGCAACAACCTGCTGTTCCGGCCACGATCGACTCTTCTATCGGGAACGACCCTATCCGATGTCTAAAACTCTTTGCTTTTACGCCCATCGATCCTCTCGTACGGTAGAAACTGACCTCTAAAGGTTCGCCGATCAGCATCGAAATCGCTCTTAAACTTGTCCTGGCTTTGGTCTTGACCCCGTGTCTTAGCCAATACATAAGACCCAAGCTGATCGACCTCTATCCTTATTTTTGACTCATAGCATTTATGGACATCTGCCTATGTGGTTGCCTGAAACTCGAGCAGGCTCTCCTTCAGTTTTCGGGAGGCATCGGAACTTAGTGGATTTAGACCCTTTGTGAATGCCTTCGTTTCCCACTCATCTGGAACCGCCAATACCACCTTTCTTTTTGGAATCGGATCATAATTTCTCGTAGTAGTTTGGATTCGCCCCTGCGCAATTCTAATATATCTGCCTTTCTGGCTTGTACCTTCCTTGCTCCGGCATAGGCCTTAATGAACGAGTCTGCAATAATTTCAAAAGAATTGATTGAATTCTCGGGTAAAAGAGAGTACCATGTCAAGGCCCCCTTTGTGAGGGTTTCCCTAAACTTCTTCAACAAGACCGACTCGATCTTTTATTGATCCAAATCATTTCCTTTCACAGCCATGGTGTAGGTTGTGATATGCTCCTGTGGATCCGAAGTCCTATCGTACTTCGGTATGTCTGATATTTTGGAATTAACTCTAGTGCTGCACTTGGCTTAAAAGGTAACTGCATGTACTTTTTTGAATCCAAACCCTTTAACACTGGTGGTGCACCAGGAATCTAATCAATCCAAGCGTGAATCTCCTTTGCATTGTGATCCATTTGTTCGTTCATTTCTCTCATGAACCTCATGAGCGCGATTTTGAAAGGATCACTTCCGTTGCTGTTCCCAAATTCGCTATCGGTCCCTCCGGCTTTGTCGAAACTGACTTTACCCCCTGGGGTGTTGTTATCGATTCTTTGAGCCGTTTGATTTATGGGAACACTGGGAAGGATTGGTCCCTTACGTTCGCGTTGTTGGAAGCACATGCCAATGCTTGTTCTAACTCTATCATCACCCTATCCTGCCTTGAGAGAAGATCCGTAATTGTTTTATGTTGTTTTCTGAGGAGTTTGATCGTCTCTACGACATATTCCTCCTCCGCATCATTAGGAGTTGGGTCCCGCACATGCCCAGGATCTGATGTTCGCGAACCAGGGTGGTTTCATCACCTTCGTTACGGGTGTCACTGATTAAGTCATCACGCTGGGACAATTCTTCCCGTTCAATGTGTGCTTCAACGTTGTATGCGTTGTTGACATCGTTAGCTGCCATATCTGATTTTTACTAAGGAAAAAACTAAAACTTGTTAGCAATAGACGTATGGATCAAAGCAATTAGGCAACTGTCTATTCCCCACGGATGACATCAAACTATATACCCATAAGACGGTACAGTTAAATTTGTAACATGGTTTATAAATAAGTGAATTGATTTGACCCAAAAACGATAAAGAAATAAGTCTGAAGTTAAATTTAGCAATTGAGTTAAAGAAGATACCAAGACTGGTTCTGAACTCAGCCTTTTCGAGAACAAAAGTGAAAGTAAAGATAAAGCAACGATGACCGGGTAAAGTGAGAGCTAAATAGTAAAGTATGAGAGCAAAATAGTAAAATCTGGCTTTTGTGTATAGAGTATTTCGTGTCCTTACAATGGTGTTAACCCCACTATTTATAGTTCTAGCTAGGGAAACAAGATCCTAGGATCAAGCTCTTCTATAAATGAGGATAAAAGTGTCATTGATGAATATGTAACGGCAAGCCTTGAATGCAAAAATTGTCTGTAACAACTGCTCATTTAAGCTAGCAAATGTTTCCTCATTAAATGCTGTTCGATGGCGAATCTTTGAACTTCTACTGATGTCTACATTCCCTTCGGAATCCATCCGGTACCGGTCACACACATCGCATTCGGTACTAATTGTTTCCCGACTCGTCCTTTGTCTATCTTCGACTCCACGTATCATCTTACCATTCGATCACTTGTTATTGTTAGAACATGCGCAGCGGAAACAAGCATGCAATCAGGCATCAATTACATGTAAAATAGACAACGCAATGATAATGAGATCAGGAACACTAACCTCTTGAAATAGTTGCACAAATTCTCCAAGCAGCAAGAATCCAGGGCTGTAGTCTTCTGCTATTTGCCTAGTAAAACCTTGAACACTTTTGCTTTTGTGTGGCAAGAACAATACAACTCTAGGTTAGTTAACAGGAGAAACCTGTCTCCTTTTTATACACGAAATTAAGCCCTAAAATAGGCTCAAAAACGTGTGGAGTAGGATTCCATAAGTAGAATCCTACTCCAACTCAAAAAGGTAACTTTTCTCCCAAGCTACTTTTTACCCAAGTTTGTCCAGGTTATTACTAGGTATAGCAAGGACCACAGAAATAATAAGAGGCTACTAATTATAGTACTAATTCGAAGTAGGCAGGAATTAGATCCTACTATAATTAATTGCAATTTATTCCACTAAAAAACTGCAATTGAACTCCTCAATATGAATTTCAAAAATTCATCAACACTTATTTTAACTCCCCATGTTAAGATTTCAAATACCAGTTAATTAAATTAAATCACTGAAAATTTAATTCAATCAACTAATTAAATCCTTTATAATTCCGCTTAAACTATCTCATGTGACGGATACAAAATCCACTAGCCGGATTTTCACATGAAAACTTATAAGCTTATATAAAGGGGTATTATCAAACCCAAAAACCAAGTCATGGATTCTATCAACTAATTATTTTTCACAAATGTTATTTGTTATTGTCCAATTTATTAGGCATATACTAACTCTAAATAGAGTCGTACCTTTTGAAAATCAAAACAATAAACAAATTACATTGATCATAATAATTATATCAAGATTAGAGTATAAGCTCATTTAATGAATTAGAGAAAGTGTTTATATTGTATTCGGTACAAAAATATCTTTTCTCTACTGGTCCGTTCAATACACACTGAGTATACTAGCACAAGAAAGTGGAGTAGATCTTACTCCCATAACAAGACAAATTATACAATAATCTTGTGCTACAATCATCAAGATATTTTGTCCGATAATATCTTCGATTGTGAACATAGTTTATTAATTATGAGAACCAACAATTTAATCTTCTGTGTATGAGCTAAGACTCCATACACTAAATTGTCTACTACATAATCAAAAGGACACACATGTTACAAATGATCTATTTAAAATAGTGCTTTATTGAATTGAATAAATTAAATAAACAATTGTTTCATAAAGAACAAAATATAATACTATGTCTAAACCGCATGGTTAATAGTATATCCCAACAGTTATCAACCAATTTTACCCCATACACATATAACTTACTAAAATTAATCTTTGAATTTTTGGTCTTAAACATGTTATGCCATGTATATAAGAGATTGATATTAAAGATAAAATTAAAATGTTAAATTAACAATTTACTAAATGTATAATATTACATTTTTTAAACAACTTAAAAAAAGTATGATACATAGATTAAAATGTGGAGAGGTAATAATGAAGACAATTTTCTTTTTTTCACTCGACAATGATCATAGTCGACAGTGGGTGGTTCCCTAGGTGCATGTTTAAATGAGGAATATTCATAAATCACTATTGTTTAGTGGCTGTTAACTTTCTATAACTATCATATATATAATTACTTCCTATAACTACTATTTAGTTGTTACGGTAGTATATTCACATGTATTCGCGCTACCGTATTCATGAATACAACAGTAAAAAACGCCTAAAAATCAGGATAGTCCAGCTGTACGCGCATGTATTGACATGTATACGCGCCATGTATCCATGAATATAGCAGCAAAAAGCGCCTAAAATCAAGGTAGTCCAGCTGTACGCGCATATATTCACATGTATTTGCGCTGCTGTATTCACGAGTAAAAAGCGCCTAAACTCAGGGCAGTCCAGCTGTACGCGCATGTATTCACATGTATTCGCGCCATGTATTTATGAATACAGTAACAACAATCACCTTAAAAATAGGTACGTAGCATAAATAGCGTATTTCATGCCTCAATTGTAGTATATACCATAAATAATATTTTGCTATAAAATATAAAAGATAATTATAGAAATAATATTTTAAAATAATTTTGATTTATAAATTATAATAAATAGGGTGTGTACCGTAAAATTTCCTTTTTAAATAGCAGCCCTTATTAGAGTGGCTATTTGGTGTCATTTCTACCCCTTTATAAGTAAGGCCCACACGCATTAACAGAAGCCCATTGAAATATCTGGAAAACGCAACTCCGGTTTTCTGGTTCCCGCCGAAGAGCAGAAAGAACGGTGAAAATGGTTGGAAGAAGTTTGTTACCGGGAACTATCTGCAAATCACGGCAGCTCAAACATCTCTTTTCCAATCCCTTCATCTTTCAACCTCTCTTATCCCATTCCTTACCCCAACAAAGAACCAGGTATATTAATTTATCTCTCTTTCCAAAAATACATACATAGACACAAATAATTTTGCAAAAATCTCATAGTTTAGTAGTCCTTTTACTGCAAAATGCAAGGTTTTACTTGGCGGAGTCGCTGTTGGGTCACACCTAAGAGCACCCAAATGTGATCTTGGATGCGTATATTTGGGTCGGGGTTTCTGTACGGTTGGCAAAGCTGTGGAATCAGCTGCTGGTGTTGAAGAGAGTTCTGGAGAAGGTAAAATCAAAAGGAAGAAATTGAAGGGAAAAAGACAGGTTGTAAGGTGGTTAAAGTTCTTCAGGTGGAAGAAGAAGAAAGATTTCCAAAGAATGACTGCAGAAAACAAAATTCTTTTCAAATTGAGCAAGGTAAATCTTCTTTACTTTATGTAGTAGAAGTAGGAAGCTTTCTAGAAAAAAGTCTAAGATATCAAGACTGTAACTTTTTACAACATCTACTTCTTGCTGGTTCTCTCCGTCCAATTTATGCGGCTGTGCTGAATTTAAGAAAGATGTGGTCTAAAATAAACTAATAAACTTGTTTGGTTATAAATAATTTTACTGAAAAAATTAAAAAGTTTAAAATTTAAGTTATTTCTTAATAGAAAAATATAATATTCTTTTGGGACAGCTTAAAAGGAAAAGTATATCAGAAACTGGGATATTGCTACATATCACTTATAAAAAAGTGTTTGAAATATCAATAATAAAGTACTATGGTGGCTTCAAATGTTTGAAATTCCAACCTCTTGAGCCCCTTTGACCCTTTTATGCCATCTCTTGATCCTTGTTTACTCTAGGGCAATCTGTGAAAAGAGACTTGTTATCTATCTAAATGTCTGTGGTTATGTGTGCTATCCTAGTACTCTTTTTATTCCCAAATTGGTAGTCTCGAGGGTCATATTGTGATATTTTGAAAATTTGAAAGTTATGTATTTATGTAGTTATATCTAAATTTGCACACTAACTATATTGAAAAATTAGTTAATAATTCATTCATGAGATTTAAGAAAAATAGTTCAAGTGTACTAACAAATATGAAACTAATAGGCCCATGTGATCAAGGGTTCTAAAAGGTGCAACATTTCATCGTACTAAAATCAAAAGTTTATTTTGTAAAATTTCATATACAATAAATTGTAAGATTATTTACAATGATCATTCAAAATTACATTTGAATGTGTCACATGAATCATATACCAGTCCCAAATTTCAACAAAAATATAGATGCATATGCAAATGTGATCTTCATGATAGCTTCTAAAAGTCTGATTTGTCTTGTCATCCTTATTTCTCTTCTAGTAAATCACCTATGATAGCAACAAACTATTGCTAAGTATAAAACTTAGTGGACACCTAAGGGTGTGGCCTAGTGATCAATGAAGTGGGTTGAGAACCACAAGGTCTTAGGTTCAAATCCTAGAGGAGATAAAAAATGGTGGGTGGTTTCTTCACATCTGTTCAAGCGTTGGTGGATAGAGTTACCTGGTACCTGTTGTTGGCAGGAAGTAGCAAGTATCCCGTGGGATTAGTTGAGGTGTACGCAAGCTGGCCCAGGCACCGTAGTTATTAAAAATAAGTATAAAACTTAGTGACACTTAAACTTTGGGTTTGGAGCCACTAAATTCTCTAATGCTCATTTGAAATATGTTATGACCACTGATGCTTGCAGCCTCACTCAGATAAGTCCTTTTTTTTCCTTTTCTTCTTCAAACAGTCTCCCTGTCTTGAATTTTCTTCTTTATTCATAACCCTCGAAGTCATTGCATTTCATTTCCTTTTGGGTCTACTTTCTCCAAGATTTCTTGTTAGACTTGCCAAGCAAACAAGAAGGGATTGCAAAGCTTATTACCAACTTCCAAAGTGCAAAGCGAAGTGCGGCCACATCATGCCAGAAATAGCATGATGCACAATGAAAAATAAGGTGTTAGCCAAGGTTCAAGTAATCAAGTGGTTTCATGAATTGTGGGGAGAAATACAAAGAGTCAAATTGGGAAGACAGAAATGCCAAAACAGCAGGTTGAGTATAGGGCACTCAAGTCATTCAGGGTCCCGTGGTTAAGGTTCAATCAGAAGGGGAAACAATTCCTTGCCGGTCGGATGCAGTTGAGCAGAACAAAGCATGACAGTGGAAAGGACGCCCTCAGCAAGAATGCCACAAACTAACCACCGCATTTTCAAACTGACAAGATTTTTCTTTGATTGAAACAGGGGCAGAAATTTTATTTGTTCCGGAGAAACCCACCGTGAAGAAAGCAGGTGCCAGACAGGCTCGGCGGTAAGTTTTCAATACTCTCCCGGATAACGGGATTTAGTAAGTTTCGAGACCCTCGCAAGTGACAAGGTCTCGCGAGAGTTTTTCTTTTGGGAAGTATAATTCAGCATTTAAGTTTTCACTTTTGAAGATGAGACTCGGTTTGAAATTTTCAGGATAAGGAAATTTAGCTTAGAACTGATTTTGATAACAAGAGTCGGTTAACACTCATAGATGTTCTCAATATCAAACTGAGGCAGAAAAATTTCTTTTGCTTTGTCTGTTTTGTTGTCATCAGGCGCCCACTTGGAGAACAAGGGAAAACAACTCAAGTTTAGAGGAAAACAGTTCAAGTTTCAGAGAAAGGCAATTTAACTTTCGGCAATCAGGCGCGCACCTGGAGAACAAGGGAAGACCACATAGGGTTCCATGGAAAGGAAAGCAGTTCAGGTTCAAGCAATCTGGCGCCCACCTTAAGAACAAGGGAAAACAATTCAAGTTGCAAGGGAAGGGAAGGCAGTTCAGGTTCAGCAATCAGGCCCCCACCTGGAGAACAAGGGAGAACAGCTCAAATTTCAAGGGAACGGAAGACAATTCAAAGGGAAAAGCAGTTTCGAAAGAAGACGGTTCAAGTTAAGAAATCAGGCGCCCACCTGGAGAACAAGGGAAAATAGCTCAAGATTCGAGAGAAAACAAGTCAAGTTAAGCAATCAGGCGCCCACCTGGAGAACAAGGGAAGACAGCACAAGTTTCAAGGGAAAGCAGTTTCAAAGTAAAATAGTTCAAATTTCATGGGAAAAGAAGACAGCACTAGTTTCAAGGGAAAATAGTTCAAGTTTCAAGGGAAGACGGTTCAAGTTTTGGCAATCAGGCGCCCACCTGGAAAACAAGGGAAGTCATTTCAGAATGCATTTCAAGTCAGCAACAAAGGAAGTTACCTGGGAAGTACGAGTCAACAGCTCAAGATGCAACACAGAGCCGCAAGATCAAGTTTGAAGATACGTAGATAGGATTCTTGTAATTCATATATCATAGTTTAGTTTAGCTTCTTTTGGTTTTGACAAGGTATAATAAGGAGTTCAGCAAGCAACAGCAGCAACATCAACAGTGAAATCACAGCTTCTCGGTAGTCCCAGCTACCAAAACTTTTCGAACTACACTGACCTGATTCCTTTATAGCCAAGGATATGTAGGCAACCTCGGAAGCAGTGCGCGGTCAAATCTTTCAAAAATGCTTCCCACGGAGTGTTCAAACGGGCAAAAATCACTCGTATCTGCTCACTTTATCTTTGCACGAAAACTCTTCGTGTTTCCGAGCAAAGAGGGGCAGTTGTGAGCACATGATTTTTGACCTATATGAGTTACTCCTATAAAACTCAAGAAAATAGATTTTTTTAATTATTTGCCATTTTATAGGATTTTATTAATTGTTTGCATTTTTGTGCATGTTTAATTTCCAGTAAAAATCATGAAAAAATATCAAAAAAATACCATGCATTGCATTTAGGTTTTGTCTTTACATTTTAGGATTAATTAGTTAATTATTTATCTTATTAAAATTGAAAATCACAAAAATGGTTCATTTTGGCATTTTTAGTTTTAATTTTAGAATAGTAGTTTTTCTCTTTTAATTTAGGATCAAGGAACTTTTATTATTTTTAGAAAGTGGTTAGTTTTGCAATTTAGATAATTTAGGAATTTAGTTTAGAATTTTATTTATTAAAGAAAAGGAAAAGAAAAACAATTGAAAAAGAGAAAAAAAAAGAGAATTAGAGAAAAAAAGAAAAGAGGCTGTTTAATTGAGCAAAATTGCTGAAGCCCAACCCCCTTTTACCCAATCCGCCCCAGGCCACTCCCTTTACCTGGTCCAGTTCCCATATAAGCCCCAAGACGACGCCGTTTCTGAACTCCTCATCACAACCATTGGATCATTGAGATCCAACGGCCCGGAACTCATCCCTCCCCAACTATATAACTGTCAGAACCCCGGTCGAACCCTAGATCCCCCTTCCTCATCTCCCTCGTCCCCAAGCCATCAAACCCTAGCTGCCTAAAAGAACCTCGCCGCCTCTGCCACTAACCACCACCAGAAATCGCCTCATGGCGGTTCTGGTGGTCCAAACCTCCCCAAATTTTTACCAGGAAACCCCCTTTCTTTCCTCTTTCCAAATCCCTAAACCAATTCCTTCAAATCCCTACCAATCTCTTCCGATTTCAGATCTAAAGCACCAACCCCAAAAACCCTAACTCACTCAAACCGACCCAAACTTACACCCTATAATCACTAGGCCTCCCCAAACCCAAAATCCTTAACAATTTCCCCAAAAAATCTCCAAAACTTGTCGAATCCCGGATTTAGGTTCAACCTAATTTCTGATTTTGGGATTTCTTTGAACCTTTGTTCGTCTTGGTTGGAAGCTCGCCCAAATAGGTTATTCTTGTCCAGAATAATCGTTTGGGTCAGTTTCAAGCCTCATCGAAAGCATTCTGAACCTGGCCAGCCTGCTGCTTTTGCTTTTGTTGATCGTCTGGTTGATTAAATCGGCTTCCTGGACTTTAGTCATTTATTCATCTTTGTTCTCTTCTTTCTTCCGATCTCTTCCTCTCAATTCTGTCAGTTGCATATTAGGTTTTATGTGTCATCTGTTTGTTTGTGTATTTAGGATTTCGGATTAGAGTTTCATCACATAAGTCAATTTAGTTCAATGCATGAATTAATTCTGTTTCGATGGTATTTTCTGATTTCAGCTTATGTTAGAAGAATTTAGGCATAATTTGAGGTTCAATTGCATTGTTGTGGTATATTTGAGCATGTTTTAGTTAACAATTTTGTTTTAGAATGCATTGATTATTCCAGTACTTGTGAAAGTTCCATTTAGGGTTCCTTGTATAGCTTAGTTCATTATGAATTGATGTCATGGTTTAGGTTCGTTCACCAGTTGTTAGATACCTTTTTCAGCTTTGAATTTCATTTGCTTTCAATCCGTTTGAAGATATTAGCATATTTGTTTCTATCATCTAGGTTTGTAAATGCTTGAAACTCTTAGGGTGTTAATTGAATAGCTAAAAACTTAACGGGGGGGGGGGGGTAATTTGGGAGTTAGAAATAGGATTTTTTTCAGATAAGGCTTGGTATAGGAAGTTTCTAGAACCTGGGGCAGCTGCCCTCATTTGGTTTGCACAAAATGCATAGGCCAATGAGGGACAGCCAGCTGTCTAGGTAGTTAAAAAGATGCCTTTTGCAGGCTGGGAATAATTTCCAAGGCTGTTTTTGGAGAACATGGCCTTAGAGGCCTATAAAAGAGTGCCATTTCCTTCACTCGAGATCAGATTTTCAAGCATATTTCCCTGCATCAAAGTTCTGAAATACACAAACAGATTCAGACCCTAAAAAAACACTCAAAGTCTCTGCATCATTTTTGGCTGAAAATTGGTTGGAATTGCTCTTTGGTTTTCACTGTTAGTATGAACTTAAAAGTTTCAAGGGATTCTGGTTTATCTGGGTTTAAAGATGGACTAAGGGAAGCTTGCTGTTGATTTGCTGATTTGCTCACACTTCCGACCTTGCTGAAGTTCTCATTTCCTTTTTGCTTTGTTTTATTATCCAGGTACTTCTTGGACCTTAAATGATCTATTAAATGCAAGGTTGTTGTTCCGGTTGAGATATGTAGTTGAAATCGAGGATCTAATACCAAATGCTCCCTTTTAATTTTACTCCCATGTTTCTCCTAAATTCACTTAGTCCTTTAATAGCTTCAGTTTACTGTAGTATTCGTACGGTTTATCTTAGGATATGTTTGATGGCTATTTGTTTAATGGAAGGTGTTCTCTGTGAAGGTCTGAGAGCTTATTATTGTGGAGTATGTAGAACTTGGCTCTAGCATGTTTAAAATATAGTGTTCAGCATGTGTATATTTTCAGGACTTTAACTTGATAGAACAATCGTGTACGTAGTAGTATAGTTGATAAATAGTTTCGTGATTCAAGTTCATGTTGTAGCATTAGTAGCAGTAATAATTTGAGGTTTATAATATGATTGTTATTGCTGTAATTTTGGGAGTTGCATATGATGTTGTTCCATGTGATTGGTGGCCACTTAGGGCCTCAGTAGGGCCTTAATCCTCGATACACTCATGCCATGGTTTTTGAGGATTGAATCAGGCCCAAATGGGGCCGCCTGGAATTCTGGTCGGGCCTGTTTGACTCCAGCTATGTACGTTTCTTTTTGGCTCTATCTTGAGCCCAACCTCCAATAGCATTAGCTTTTCCCCAAAATAGTTTATTGTGTATGTTGGAGAATTGAGCCTGGACTTGGTGGCCCACTTGATATATGCGACCATCTGTTTGGCTGCACTTCTGGGCTCGATTTCTAGCCCAGTCTCCTTTTTTAAAATAGTCCTGAGCTTAAGCTCACACCGAAAATGGGCTTAATAATCGAATCACATATGGCCCTCACAAATATTGTAATTAGATATTAAGAATTGACATGCCATTCATAGAAAAGCCTTTAGGCGCGTGTTAAAATACAATTGTGATTATGTACACGTTCACGTGACATAATTACGATCCTAAAAACCAATTCGGTGTATGCGTTCGCGCAACTTCGATCAAACTTTCTTAATAATAAATTTGTTATTAATATAGTCCTCTTTAATTAAATATAGTTCTCTAGGACGAGGTGTGTCATTCATAATTGAATCCCTATGGCCCTCATATTAATTTTATGACTTAGATATTAAAAATGATATTCGTAGTTTGCTTTAGGCACGTTCAATATACCATTGTGGTTGTGTACACGTTCGCGTGACATAATTACGATTCTAAAAACAAAATCGGAGTATGCGTTCGCGCAACTTCGGCCAAACTTTCTTAATAAAATAAAGCGTTATTAATTGTGGACACGTTTGCGTGACATGATTTTTGACGCACCAAACAAATGGGTACACGTACGCGTGACCTGTTTCAAGATAATTTCTTAATTAAAAAGGCAAATGCACATAGGTTCTAAAATTAGTAATTAAACAATTTTATTAAGCCAAGTATAATCAAAGCGACCGTGCTAGAACCACGGAACTCGGGAGTGCCTAACACCTTCTCCCGGGTTAACAGAATTCCTTACCCGGATTTCTGTGTTTCGCAGACATTAAACCAGAGTCAAATCTCCTCGATTCGGGATTTTAAACTGGTGACTTGGGACACCATAAACTATCCCAAGTGGCGACTCTGATCTTAAATAATAATCCCATTTTGATTGTCACTTAAATTGGAAAAACTCCCTTATATATCCCTTTCGGGGTAGAAAAAGGAGGTGTGACAGCATTTATGAATAAGACATCGCAAATGTGACGTCTGCAGCTGGATAAAAGAGGGAAAATCAGGATTTAGCTCATTTTACACTATTTCTCAACCCTAAACACTCTAGAGGCAATTTTTGAAAAACCTTTTCTCCTCAAATTCATTTGTAAGCAACTGTAATTCATTTGCCATTACTTTTCATGAAATTTTTAACATCAAATCTAAGAATTTCATGGTAGAATTTAGGGATTTTGGGTAGAATTTAGGAGTTTTATAAAATTAAGATTTAGACCTCAAAATAAGGTCGGATTTCGAAACAAATCGCATAACCGGGCTCGGGAGGTGAATGGGTAATCAGGTTTTTGTCCGACTCTCGGGTTTTGACCAAGCGAGCGTGGTGTTGACTTTTTTAATTTAGCTAAATATTGAACCTTTTTCATTCGTGGGTAGATTGTAAAGCTTAATTGTAATTATTTGAATGATATTTGGCTACATTCGTTTTGTTTGGAGGCTTGTTCTAAAGGAAAATCCGTGGTTGAGTATTTATTTGGTTGCGGAAAGAGGTAAGTATCGTGTTTAACTTTGACTTGAGAGAATTAGGACTTGTTTGGTGTATTTGCTACGTGAATTATATGTGGGGCGGCATATATGCAAGGTGACAGGTGTATATGCATTGTCATGGGTTAAAGAATGCGGGTTGGGCTATTTACCTTTACGTCGTCATTTACTTCATGTTATATTTCGTTACATGCTTTGATTGCTACATGTTCTTACTTTTTATCCATGCCTTACTTGTTATCTATCATTTTGTTGTTACTTGTTTCGATTTATTCAGTTCTCACTCAATATATGCTTATCTTCTATATATTCCTACTTGTATTAATTGTATATCTTCATTGTCTTATGTTTTACTTGCCTTTATTGTCTTTACATTACTTGTTGCACTTTATTATGTTATTCCGATTATGTGAGTCCTTTAGCTATTCTTGAAATGATGATTTGTCGAGGTATATGAATACAAGATATTGGTTATTCTATGTTGTATTGGTAGTTCCTTGATGTCCTATACGCCTTATTTCCTTTTTGAGCGAAAATTACGAAATGTGGTTATGTTGAATTTTTCATGTTTATGAGTTAATATTGAAAGGGTTGTCCACTGCAACAATATTGAAATGAATTGATAATGGGATCGGGTTACACGCTGCAACATATATTGATATGATATTGGGATTGGGCTACACAGCGCAACAGATATTATGATATTGTTGGGATCGGGTTACGCGCCGGAACAGAGTTTGATGTGTTGTAGTAATTGTAGTTGTAGTGTTCTATTCCGGTACTATGATATGAGGAATTTGAGATAATGTTATTCTGGGGCCCTCTGTTAGTTGACCTTTAGGTCTCGTTCTTATTAATTACTTGCTTTCCCCTATATTTCTGTTGTCTTTTATTAATATTCATACAGGTTTATAGTGAGTGTCTTATCATAGTCTCGTCACTACTTCGTCTAGGTTAGATTCGACACTTACAGAGTGCATAGAATTAGTTGTATTTATACTACACTTTTGCACTTCTTGTGCAGATTCCGATGTTGGTCCAAGTGGTGCGCAGAGGAGTTCGCTCGGATTTGACTTGCCCCGTAGACCTGAGGTAGAGCTGCTTGGCGTTCGCAGTCCCTGAAGTCCCCTTCTATTCTGTCTTTACTGTTTATTTTGCTCAAACAGATGTATTTTCATCAGACCTTATTTGTAGTATTCTAGTCACTCATGTACTTGCGACTCCAGATTTCTTGGATTAGTATAGGCCATGTTATTTAAGGATTTGTCATATGTATTTTTCAGATTTTACAACTCGTTAATCATCATGTTCTGCTTTTAAAGTGTTAAAAATTGGTTAAATATTTAGCCAACGTTGGCTTGCCTAGCAAGTGAATGTTAGGATTTATCTACTTGTTTTCTATATTGAATTTGTGATCTCGGGTCGTGACAAATTCAATATAGAAAACAAGTAGAATGCATGATAAGGCATAAGCGATCCACTTGAATGGTCAATGCTTCCACCTTTATGCTCAAAATTATTGCATCGGATTCTATATTTGAATCAACCAAACATCTATCAATTTATCATAACATGTGTACACACCATCAGTGAAACATGAGAGAGTGACCCTAATAGGATTGATCCATAGCCACACGTTGTACGGTAAATACCTTGTGCCGTAATAGTAACAATATTATCATAATTACATGACAAAGATCTCGTGCGATAACAATAACAATGCCACAATAACTGCACGGTAGAAACCTCGTGCCACTTCCAAATCAATCCGATTAATATGTCCAAATGTGCCATAATCAAAGCAATCCAAAATAATATTTTATCTTTAAAGAGGCATATGCTCACAAATAATCTGTAAGGTACACAAGGACATAATAATAAAGGTGCGGATATGTGCACAAGATGTTAAGCATGACTATGGCAAAAATTAAGTATAACAACAATGTCACGAATAGCCCATCTTGGCTAATTAAGAGGCAGTAATCCTAAACATGATTGCTAGCATGAAAGAAAAAGCTCATGTTGTCATACAATTGATTAAAATATCAGAAGCACACCAGCTCCCGACCCCAAGTTACTCTCCGCAATCTCGAAGCACACCCATTCTCACAAGTCATAAAACGTCAAATATACATACCGAAAGCATCAAATAGGGGAATGAGGTTCTAATACTCAAAACGATCGATCGAGTCGTTGCAAATTTACAATTAGACATATTTAGGTAAAACTTCCATGATAAATTGTATAAGAGAACTCGAGGCTAGATCGTGTGTAATGAATCTTCATTAATTTGGACTTTCTAGCCCGCAAATTTAAAAGGAAAAACTATACTAAATGCCCAACAACCCAAAATAATTACCTGTAATTACCCATATGAAAGTTTGTTACAAAAACTACCTACGCGGCAGAAATATTTTACTCAGCCTACCTATTTCCTTTTGCCTTTTGATTTGTTTTCTCAGCGCTAGCTTAATCTAGTGGAAAACATTATCGTTCCCCTTTGAAGTGCAAAATCCTAGAGTTTTCCTTTTTAATAGACTAGCAAATCCAGTTGACCCAGTTATTTTTCATGTAATCTCATCAATTTTCTGTCAAAATCTCATGCTTGTTCGGATTTTGCACTTCGGATTTTTTGATAAAATTAAAATTTTACAGATTTTCTTAAAGTCTTTTTCCAAAATTTAAAATTTACTGATTTTGCAACTTGAAGATTTTAATATTAGATTTGAAGTGGGTATATATTGCCTATAGTATCTTCGAGTAAGCTTCCTACATCTGAATTTTGATGTCAAATATCCATCATTGTTGGGCTTGAAGCTCTTGAATTTAAAATTTTATTTTGAAAATTTCTTGTTTGATTCAAAGTTGGTGTTATTAAATATTACTTATAGTACCTTCTAGAAGTTCATACTGAAATTTGATCGCGTTTGAAGCTGATTTGAGGTGATTGAGATCAAATTTTTCAGCTGAAAATCGAAGACACAATTACCTAATAATGTACTGCTACAATATACAGTATGATGTAGGAGTATATAGCTATACTGCAACAATATACTGTTAGAGCATACAATATACTGCAACGGTATACTGTAATAATAAAAGAAGAACACAATTGCCTAATAGTAATCGCTATGGTATACAATATACTGTAGGAGTATATAGATATATTGCAATACTATTATAGTATAGATTATACTGTTACGGTATATTGTAATAATAGGCAATATACTGCAAGAATATGCTACAATATACCATAAGAGTATACTTCGACTACTATTTTATTGAATCATCT